ATATATGTGTAGATTAAATTTAATTAGAGAAGAGTGAAATATGCTGTAAAAGTTATTGAATTCATTGGAAAAGTAGCTAATGCGTTAGGAAGAAAGGTAATCGCATACCTGATGAGACTACAACTACCACTGTATCAGTTGATGATGCGGTAATTGAAGAAGAGTAACCACCTTTTAAATGATTCTCATAACGACTCTTTGATTTTTGATCAAAGAAACAATAGCGCCAGGTACAAAAAAAAAAGAAGAAAGATTGTCTTGCTGTTAACTTGTTTTAATTTATATAAAATATACATCTAAATGTATTTGTGTATGTGTATATTTATCGGATTTGTATATATGGTAAGAGTATTCTAACACAAGGACATAAACGTCTTTACGCGTTAAAAAAAATTTTTTTTTTTTTTCAAGGTTAAAATAGTGCCCGCCTCCGTTTAAACTATTGAAGTTTGAAATCTTGTATTTTTTCTATTTATTGCATGGAAATAATGCAAAGTTAGAAGCGCATAGAAAATGTCATTTTCCAGTTTTAAACATTATGAAATTTTAGATTTTCAAAAATTTCAAATTACTTTTCACGATTTAAATTCAAATTCAGATTTAATTTAAAACACTGATAAATTTTTCTGAGATTTTAACATAATTATTTGAATATTGAATATTTTCCCTAAGCAGAGTGATTCAGTGAAATAATTTCATTTTATCAAAGTTATCATTTGTTACATTATTGTACAGTTCGGAATTATCTCTCATTTCAATGGATGGCTCAGAAGTTCCGAACGTGAATTTACTTAACGTGCACTGTGATATGATATCACTTTAGAATTTTTACTTTTATAAAAATTCATTTTTCCCATTAACAATCAATTTATTTTCCGCTTCATATCTCATAAATAAATTGAACGATACGGTTTAGAAGAATGACAATTTCCGAAATAAACAAAAAAAAAAAACTCGAAAAAAATCTGCAAAAACAAGAAATGTAGTAAGGAATTTGGTCAGAACAAAAATGTGAAATTAGTAGCGGAAGGATGATTCGCATAAATAAACATCGTAATTCAATTGTTTTAGAAATTAAATGTGAACAAATTAAATTGCAAAGTTAAATTCTATATTAATCAGTCTACTAGCACTAATAGTGATAGTGCTCTTTTGTTAACACTGATAATGACAGTGCCATTTTCAACAAGCATGCTTTTTTTGGTATGCACTGAAAAATAAAAGGATAAAATTGCATTCATCATACCGCCTTAAGGCATTCTTCTTTTTCTATCATTCCCAATCATTGACCTGTCATCGTCAATATCATTATCACCATCATCGTCATTATTATTATCATCGCCACTGTCGTCATCTATCATCATCATTATTATCACCAATCTCAAAATCATTATTGTTATTATCATCGTCACCACTATCATATCATCATCACCACAATTATCATGATCATCATCAGTGAGCAACATCGTAGCCACCAACATCGTCGTCATCATTCTTACCATTATCATTACCATTATTATTTTACTATCATCCTTCGCCTCTCTGTCAGTGATTTGTTTTCTTCTTTCAACATCATTGTTACCATCACCATTATCATTACTATCATGTCATCATTTGCTTTCTTATCTGATTTGTTTTCTTGTTTCATCATCCTCATCCTATTATCGTTATCATCATTTACTTCATCTTCAAATGGTAAAACTTGTTCGATAAATTCATGTGCAATGGTATTAAATATGTGTATGCTGCATGACAAAGATAGGCAAATGTACAAAATCAAACAATCTTTAAAAATTGTTCTTTGATAAATGAGTGAAAGATTGAATTTTGAAGCGCTAACCTTGAAATTATTTCTGTCATTACAAACTTTTATTTCAACTTGAATGTAATTATAAATTTAACTATACATTTACACTATTTACACTGTAATGTAACAGCAGAGCAAAGTATGCTCAGAAAAGTGATTATATTATCAATAATTGATATTAACAGTGTAAAAATGAGTAAATAAGCAAAGTTAATTTTTTTCTTTGCCATTAATTTTCTCTTTTTCTCAATTTTGCTGTAATAATTATCAAATTATTGAAATTTTATACGACAAAATGAACAACAATTTTATTAATATAAACTAATTACATAGCAATGAGAAAAAAAAATAAATTGCCATACTTTATTTAATTTTCATTGCAGCAATAGCAGTAGCAGAAAAAAAAAAGATGGACAAATTTCAAACGAGCAATATTTTTTAATATATTGTTATCATCGATATCAATTATCAATTTGGAAAAGTTTCTGCGATAAATCAAGGTTAAATGCTGAATAAGTGAGAGTAAGATGTAAGAAAAACTTTTGCATCGATATCAATTAGGAATGTAATTTGAATAACTGAAAGTGATAAAATGAATTTTTTAATCATTAGCAAATTTTTGATATTTAATTATATTTTGCTTCATCCATAAATAATTTCACCTCTGATATAGAATAATAAATGATAAGAGATTATATTCCTTCAATTATTGCATTTTTATCACTTGAATCTTTTTGCTTCCAAATGATGAAAAAAAAACAGCTAATTGAGATCAAATATATTCATTTCATGCTTATCTTTTCATAAATAATACGACCACATAGAAAGATTGGAAGAAAACAATGTCAAACTACTTTTCCTGGTTAAAATTTGAAATTGAATATAAATTCAATGAATTTTAAAAGCATAGCAGACGGTACCTCGATTGATTACTTCACAATATTCAGTTGTATGTGTCACATAGCTAAAATCACCTTTGGAACAGATAACATTAAATTGCGCAGAGAATTTCTGCTCTGCTGCTCGTTGTATTGCTCGTTTGGAACGTGACGGATCCCTTTTAATATTCTGAAACTCGGTCAAAAAATAATATTCAACAAATTTTCTGATCAAAAATTAATCAGTACAAAAGAAATGAAGGGAAAATTAAATTATCTCAGTTTTAACTATTTAAATTTACTTATTTCTGATGTTTCTTTTTTCTCGTAAGATTAAAAATTAAGAGATTTTTTTGAATATTTAAATATGCATAATCGTTATCAATTCATAACAATCTGGTTGAAATGTTATTGGATTGCATTATAAAAGAATATATCTTACTGTTGTGTAAAATTTAATAAAAAATTTATTTTATTAAATTGAAGAGACAACACACATTTGTATATATTTGTTTTTTGCGTATTAATTTTATGGTACATTATTATTCGTATTAAAACATTAACGATTAATGATAAATGATTAAACGAAAGATGTTTGATGGTGTGAATAGTGAACGAGTAATTTAATCTGTTCAGGAAAAACAAAAAAAAAAGAGTTAAATTTAAATGGAATAAATTAATATCAATAATAAATTTATAGTATGCAAATTTCATTTTTAGATAATTTTTTAATTTAACTTTTATATGAAAGAAAATGAAAATTCATTTGGTTATAGTGAAATTTAATGTAAAAATTAAATTAACTGTTTCGAATGAATGTGCTCAATTCGTTATGATGACATTTCTTTTTTTTGTCTATTAAACAGAAATGGATAAGACAAGGAAGAAAATTTGAACATTTTCAGACAAAGAGAATGGAAATGAGAAAAGAAAGAAGATGGAGAAGGAATGAATTTTTGATTTCAAACAATTTTCCAAATTTACTAAATTGTCTGAAATTAAAAAGATAGATGGATTTGTTTACATTTTTGATAAAAAAATTCCTGTTAAAAATTTAAATTGGTGAAACGTACCGCCATCATTAATCTTCCCAACTCTTTGCTTTTACATTTCGTTTCACGATTTCGTCTATTCATAAATGTGCTTGCACCCAATATTATTGCATTGCTATTTCGTGGAATACAATTTACGCCCCTGCATCGAGTGCAACAATCATGCGTAACTGATCCCTGCATTTTTAAAATATGCTAATAAGCGAGTAAGAATGCATTTAGCAATTAAACTCTTTCCAATACTTAATTGTCATTCTTTTTTTCACTCCATGTTACATTCAGATTTGTAGATTTTGCTTCATAAAAAAAAGGATTTAAATAGCTTAAAAAATTAAAGCATACTTCGCAATTTTGTAAATTTCAAATTCAATCACTAAATTTACCTATCTTTTCTGGAAAATCAAGAGAAGGAATGAAATTCAAATTGATCACCTGCATCAGAGGTTTTTCAGCTAATGGTGGTTTAATTGTTGACAAATGAAGATCCTGAATATTGCTAAATGCGAGACTACCGCCACTGGTTAACAGGTCCAGCTGAGGAGATGGAATGATTGGTACATTTTCGGGAAGTACCGATAACGTGAAGTTTTTATTGAATAGTTGCGTATCGCTATCTCGGCTGAATCGTTGAGCATTTGAGGTCGTAGGGCAAGATGATGGACAGGAAGGTGGTGATGGACAGGATGGAAGAGATGGACATTTCGTTTCGCTCTCAGCAGTTGATAATGTTGCTGATAAATCTCGCTCCCTTGAAGTGTTCGAATCTTCTGTACCCTTCGGATTGCAATCTGTGGAGGATGGTTCGCATCCGGTTGTTAATAAGGTTGCATCACCTTCCGAATTATCGCTATCGTCTACGGTAGGGAGCAATGATAACTGTTTGCAACAGCAATTCCAGCAATTACTACTGATAATATTTTTATCAGGATTGCAATTGTCAGCTGTAAAATCTGAGCAAAACTTTGTTATGTAATAATGACAGTTTCGTGGGGAGAATCTTGCCGATCTTGAAGATTGATGCTTTTGTTTTCCTCTCAAATCTTTATCATCACAATCTTCACTGATACACCGTCCATATATCACATTTCCAAATAAACCAAAGCTAAGAATTGTGACGAGAAATCGATGGAACATATCTGTCTATAAATATTTATGATAATATGTAGCGGCAGTATCTTTTAAAAATGATAAAAATATATTCTAATTTATTTAACCATCGAAATCATAATGAAACATTGATATCAGATTTTATTTCGAAAAATTTTAAAAATTAAACAATTGCATAAACAAATCATTCAAGCGACAATAATATTATTTGAGTACCCCAAATAAATTTAAAATTTAAAATACCAAGTAGAAAAAGACATGAAAATGTTGCAAATGAATGCAAAGATGAATTTGGTATAATTGGAAAAAGATAATCTCAATTGAAAATATTCCACAATGGATGATTTTGATAATACCCTTTTATAATTGATAATTTGGTCATTCCAATTACATTATGATGAACCAGTTCTTGAATGTAAATAGCTTTTTTAATTAGCTCCGTTTCTTCATTTCATCTTATGAATATGATGAATATTACTACATTTTCAATAACAGTTAAATCTACGCTTATTTCATTAATTTGTTGACTAACATTGCTTAAGTATGCTAATTATAACAATGAAATGAGGTAATGGAAGAATTGGAGAAAGAAATAAGTAAGTTATAATTTATGCACATAAATGGATGTATCACAAAAACAGCAAAAAAAATTGCAAGCTATAAAAATGTTTTTAGCAAAAAAAT